CGCCCCGCGCCAGCCCGAGAGGCTTCCTCGACTGCCGTAGGACGGCCTAAGAGGGCCCCGATGCGGCCAAAGAGGCCTCCCAAGAGGGCTCCGTAGGCCCCCAAGAGGGCCCCGTGAGGGTCAATCCGAACTGACATGCCGAGCCTTCCCCGAAACATGGCCCCCAGGATGCCCATCAGGCTCCCAAGTGGCCCCCAGAGATCCCAAAAACTGGCCCGAAAGGCCTCGGGAGGTCTCAGCGATCCCGCCAAGAGGACTCCGAGACGCAGCCCGGAAGACACCAAGAAGCCTTTTGAAGAGGCGCCTTGTCCACGACCGCGTCTGGCCCCAAGAGTGCCTGAACAATCGAGATGCTTCCTCCTTATCCTCTCCTCCTGTCCTTCTCCTTCATTTTCTCCTCCTCTTTCTCGCTCGCCACGAGCGCGCCGAAAGAAAACAACGGTGATGCAACACTGGTTGGCGGAGTGAGTGAAACGATGCATGCGTGTGTATGTTCCGTTTGCCCGCCCATCTGTGCACTATTGTTCCTACTGTTTGAGGCTGTCCTGTGTTTGCGGTTCGGACCTCGGGGGGTTGGAATAGGAACCGAGGTGGCTGTCCATGGTTTTCTCCCTTCCGCATCATGTTCGCTCGAGCCATAGCTACAGAGGTCCCTCGTCCAAGACGCAGTTTCATCGAAATGAGAAGCCCATTAGCTCACATCCAATAGGGTCACCATCTACGAAAACGGAGATGGCACGAACGTATGACAACTCTTTGCTAATCCCACGGATGGCTTCCGCCGAATTGGATTGCTCACCTGGCAAACTGTCAAAACTCAGAAATGAACTCAATCTGCTCCTGCCTGTCTTTTTTCCGTTTCTTCTTTTGGCTATTCTTCCATCTGGCGACCTCAGCACGTGTGTTTCGCTCCTCCTCTTCCGCTTCCTCATCTGTTACCTCTTCACACGGGTGTGCATGAATCGTGAACACTCCACGCTCTGGGGTTAATCCGCAATCTCCAGGAGACTCCATCGGAACAAGGATGCGATCACCAAGTTTGAAAAAGACTGATGCGACAGGCAACTCCTGGTAATCGGCCCACGCCTCCATCATTTTGGCCCACTGGGTGTTCATTCTGAGCTTAATGCCCACGACGCTGGATCCCTCCTCGCTGTCGGCAAATATGCGAGCGTAGACTGCATCAGAAGCCCGAAACTCGCTAGGAGCTGTACTCGCCACAAGATCGATCACCTCGTCCACGTCAGAAAAATCGACTGGGGCATGGCCGGTGCGACTTGCTGCTGTTGTTGTAGCTGCGGATGCAACTGCTGCTGATTCGCCAGAGTTGGAAGGCCGCTCCCATGTAGACTGGCCGCTCTCCTTGTTGTAATCCGCCGACCCCTTGGGGATCATCGGCGCGTGAGATGCTCCCCCCTCCCCGAACCCCTCCCCCCGGGGCCTGGTCCGGTCGATTTGGAGGGGGGGGCCGTCTGGCCAAAGCTCATCAGGGGGGCCCGGCCCTTCCCGGGCTCCTCTTGGAGGTCCACGACAGCTTCTGGGGCCGCCCAAGGCCCCCAAGCGGTCCAAGAGGGCCCCGAGACGCCGAAAAATCGTTCTAAGACGCTTAACATGGGCCGAAAGATCGTTCCAAGACGCCTAAGGTGGGCCGAAGACGGCCCAAAAGGCCGCCAGACGTTCCAAGAGGCCTCCCAGGAGGCCTACAAAGAAGCTAATATTGTTAACTTACCTACGGAAAACGTACATTTCTAGCACGTACGATTTTTCCGCCTTCACAGCGCGGAAGCCTTCCCAAGATGCCTCCAAAACCGCCCTAAGACGGCCCCGTGGGCTCCCAAGAAGCCCCCAACGCGGCGCAAAAGGCGCCCAAAACTACCCTAAAAGGCTCCAAGACGGCCCCAAGAGGGGCCCGAAAGGGGGGCCACGAAACGAACATTCCAGCCGTCCGCCCCTAGAGGCTCCCAGGAGGCCACAAGAGGCTCCAAAAAGGCGTCCAGACGCCCCCAAAAGGCCCCCAGGAGGCCCCAAAAGGCTCCCCAGAGGCCTCCAAGAGGCCCCAAGCGGCCCCAAGAGGCCCCCAAATCGGCTTCGATATACGATGGTTCGGCCTTCACAGCGCGGGAGACCCTCCAAGATGCCTCCAAGACCGCCCTAAGACGGCCCCCTAATTAGGCTCCCGAACCGGAACGGACACTTCGAACCTTCGGCTCCAAGACGCCCACAGCGTGCCCCAGGGACCCCCAGGAAGCCCCCAAGAAAAACAAAGGGGTCGGCGGTGTGGCGCAAGCCTAAGAATAATAGAAACGCCTGCTTGTAGGATCCTTGCTCACTGTCCACTTTGGACCAACAATAGAAGCCTCCGTGACTAGGCACGGCTCTACAAAATCAGATGGCCGTTCCCAGGAAGATACCTTCGTAACAGGGTTGAAATAATACCAGGCTCCAGAGTCAACATCCTTGTGCTCGATCCATTTGCCTTTCCCTGCCTCTTCCAAGGCGAGAGTATCATCATGTTGTCGCTGCTTCCATCTTATCTTCGCTTCCTGCACCAAGCTAATCTTCGATTCCCCCTGTCCTGTCTCCTCACTCTTGTCCTCTGCGCCATCTGCACGACCGCGCTTCGCTGATGCACCCTGCGTCTCGTCCACTTGTTTCTCTTCGCTTGGCGAACCCATCTTGCCTATCTCCGCTTCGAACAAGGCCATCACGTCTACCATCTCTGACGCACGCCGTGAGGCAAACAAGCTAGATAATCGCGTGTTCCGAGCTTCACCTTGATCCAAAGCTGCTTGCGCCAAAATGAATAACTATAGACACACACGGATATATACACATGATACCGGAGAACAAACCCAATCAGAGCTATAGGGCTAGGGGGCTATAGGGCTATTGAGCTATAGGCTGTAGAGCTATATGGCTGTAGAGTTGTAGGGCGATAGGGCTATTGGGCTATAGGGCACCCCCGGGCACCCCTGGGCACCCCGGGGCACCCGGGCACCCCCGGGCACCCGGGCATGCAGCGAAAATCGGCGACAAACCTAACCTAACCATATGAATCCGCTAGGACCCCTACAGAGGCAAGCTCTAATTGGGGAATGTACGCATATATGCGCATGTCTATGAGATACTCCGTTTCTACCAGTCTCGCACAGGCCGGAAAGCGTTGCCCTTGAACCCCTGCGGGTTCTCAAACTAGGTTTTCGATTTTCTGGAATGCACCTGCGCCTGCTTCCGAGGAGAACCAGCTGAGTTTGCAACAAAGGTCTCACAATATGTACACGCCGTGACCTCGCTAATTCGCCCAAACACCCTCTTCCCTTTGACATGATATCCGCCACCGTGCCCTCAAGGCACGCAGTGGAGGGGTCATATGATGCCTCGGAGAGGGACGTCCTCTGGACCTCTGTAGACGCCAGCGGAGGGCCGCGAGCAACTTTTAGTTGCAATATCAGTGTATGTCTTTGTCCAGGGGGTTCTGTGGCTTGATTGGGGATCTGATACTCTCGAGAATCGACTCCATCAAACCAATGCAGAATTGTTGACGACAGCCCTCCTGCAAAATGCTGTAATCCGCCGACCCTGTCGACGTGCGGAAGTCGCTGTTCTGTTTGACTCGACGTCGTTGGCGTCGTCGTCGTCGTCGTCGTCGTCGTCGTCGTCGTCGTCGTCGTTGTCCTTGTCGTCCTCATCGTCACCGTCGCGTTTGACCCCCCTTTCCCTGGTCCCCTCGCCGTTCCCCTCTCCCTTTCACTGGGCCCTCCTCCTCAAGCGAGCCAGCCAAAGCGAAACCAAAGCGAAATTGAGCAACATCGTAGATGAGTCGAAGAGTGGACGGTTTCCCCCGGGACCGTAGGCGACCCGAGGAGGGGAGGGCGGAGGAGGAGGAGGAGGAGGAGGAAGTGGGGAGGAGGAGGGGGAGGAGGAGGAGGAAGAGGAGGAGGAGGAGGAGGAGGAGGAGGAGGAGGAGGAGGAGGAGGAGGAGGGGGAGGAGGAGGGGGAGAGGAGGAGGAGGAGCGGAGGAGGAGGAGGAGGACGAGGAGGAGGAGGAAGGGGGAGGAGGAGGAGGAGGAGGAGGAGGAGGAGGAGGAGGAGGAGGAGGAGGAGGAGGAGGAGGAGGAGGAGGAGGAATCTGAGGAGGAGGAGGAGGGGGAGGAGGAGGAGGAGCAGGAGAGGAGGCGGAGATGAGAGAAGGGGGAGGAGGAGGAGGAGGAAGGACATAGGAGGAGGAGGAGGAGGAGGCGAGAGGAGCGGAGGATGGAGGGAGGATGGAGGGAGGTGGTGGTGGGAGGGGAGGAGGAGGAGGAGGAGGACAGGTCGCCTAAGCCCGTCGGGGAAACCCTCCATCGAAAAGGAGCCCCTTCCCTTTGATCCCTTCCCCCCCCCTGGGGGGCGGGGTCGGGGGGGGTCCTAGGGGGGTCCTGGCGGAGGTCCTGGGGGGGGGGGGGTCCGGGGGGGTCTGTCTTGGGTCAGAATACCATCCTCCCCCGAGGGGGTCCTGGCTCCCCAAAAAGCCCCAAGACAGCCCAGAAGGCCCCCAAGACGGTCCCCAAGAGGGTCACGAGTCGCCGAACAATCGGTCCAAGACGTCAAAGGTGGCCTCCTCACAGCTCAAGCGGCTGCCAAGACGCTCGAAGAGGCCTCCGAGAGCACACCAAGAGGGCCCCGACAAGCAACATCCACAACGATTTTCTATAGGATTTTGACAGATTCTGGCGTCCTCGCCTTTTCGGCTTCCCGACGCCCCAAGACGGCCCAACGTGCCATACAGATCGGAGCAAGAGGCCCCCAAGGGGCTTCCAAGACGCTCCAAAAAACGGCTCCAAGAGGACTCCAAGACGAGGCCCTAGACGCCCCCCAAAACGGCTCCAGGAGGACGGCCGCCCGAACGAACAATTCGAGCCCTCGGCCCCAAGAAGCTCCCAGGAGGCGCCCAGATGCCCTCAAGAGGCCCCCACGAGGCCCCAAGAGCCCCCAAGAGGCCCCCAAGAAACCCGAAGGGACCCCCAAGAGGTTCCCGAGAGGCCCCCAAAATGCTCGCAAGAGGCACCCAAACTGCCCCCCAGATGCCTACGAGCGCGCTCCGAAGAGGCCCCACGAAGCATCCCTGAGGACTCTGCCCAACGTCAGCGTCGTCGCCGCCGACGCCGCCGTCGTGGTCGCCGTTCCCCTTCAGGGTCGGCGGCACCGGCCTACGGCCTTCCCACTCAATGCAGAATTGATGGCGACAACTCTCCTGCAAAATGCTGCCACACATGACTATGCCAGTTGGTTGCTTCATTATCGATGCGCCTTGTGTATGCGGTAAATACCTACAAACAAATCAGTGTATACATGTTCGAGCCACATCGGCAATCGTTCCACACGTCGGCAGTGTCTGAAAGGCCTCGCAAAATACATTCGAACATCACATTCAAACGTGGCAGAAGCTGTACACAACAAATGCCCAACATGGTTCTTTTGGGGGGTCCAGGAAGAGCCCAACGAGCCAGGGTTCACCAAACTCCTATTATTCTTGGCATTCTTGGCCCGAGTAGCCATCGAGGCCATCTAGACTACGAGGCTAGACGATTGGAGGCCTCCTTTGGACGGATATTTACAACGGTTGTCATTACAAGCAGACAAGCAAGCACACAAACAGACAGTCAGGCACGCAAACAACAACGTATAGGGCACAGTGGCGGGCCTGGCTGGCAGAGCATGTGATATGTTGTTTGTGTTCGAGCACATATATATATATATATACACATATTTGTACATATACATACGCGGATGCCCCGTGCGACGCACCCGTGCGACCGAGCATCCGCGGGATCGCGCCCCAGAATACGGACTGCGACGGCAGCGGCAGCGGCCTTGGTCAAAGCAAAGATGGCTGGCCCGGGAACGGGCGGGGCACGACCTGGAAGAAGCAGCGCAGCCTGCGCGCATGCCGTGGAGGGCGCGCGCACGGCGAGTGATCAAGCTCTGTGCCGATGCGGACGAAAGTGAAGGGGCTCCAGGACACACAAATAAATACACACAAATAAAACGATTCCCCATGTTTTCCTATATTTGTTTGGTTTTTGTCTTCCCCCTCACTTCCCATATTTTTGCATATTTTCCTGGGAGTCGACGATTAATCGTGTCTGTGTGTTTCTTTCCCTCCTGGGAAAGAGGGGCAGGGAGGGGAGGGGGAGGGAGGGGGAGAAGAACAGGCTCCAGGGAGCACGCCAGATCCCTCTTTGATGGTCCCCGGGCCCGATGAGGGGCCCGGGCGCCGACACATCGAGAAGCGTCGCCCGGACTGGAGAAGTCATACCCCAAGAAATTTCCCAGACACTTTTTCCTGGCAGCGGCAACGATGCGTTAGAAGAAGAAGAAGAAGAAGAAGAAGAAGAAGCGTGCACCAGCTAGAACTCCCAGACTCCCAGCTGGGCTCGGAGTCAACCTGATTTCCACTTCACGGGGTGAGCCTTGAAGAATACGTTGGACTGTGGACTCCGAAGGGCCTTGGGGCCTGCGAGCGCCCTGCAACTGCTCGAGACAAGCATGCTATGGTCAATCCTCCTACCTACCCCGATCAACTAACCAAAAGACTCGCTGCTCCCGTCGGGGAGCAGGGATGTTACGAAGGTGTTGAATTTCGTATCGGCGCAAGTCATTCATACACACGCTGCCATCTGCGTAGCTGGTTGTGGTTCGGCCGAGCTGGGGTGGTGGCGGCCAATCGTTGTTCTCACGCACAGCGCAGATAGCATCAACAACTTGCGTTTTCCGTAACCGTGAGGGCCCAAACCGCTCAAGGAGCAAGGGTGGTGAGCGGGCTCCCCAGACTCCGGCCGGGCCACCCGAGCCAAACGCGCTGTGGTCCACCTCTGGCGGAAAACTCCGCCAGGACGGAAAAAATCGCGCGCGCGGATCTCTGGATGGTCCACGCGCGGCGGCGGCAGCGGCAGGGATAGGGGGCCACATGCGAACCCTACCCCTACCCCCCACGACTTCTGAGGGGGAGGGTGGGGTTCACTTCGTTCGGGAGCTCCCGAGCGAAGTGAACCCCCCCCCCCCTCAGAAATCGTGGGGGGTTAGGGGTAGGGTTCGCGTGTGGCCCCCTAAGGGAGCACCCCTCGCAAGCGCGGGGCGCGCGGGCACTTCTTTCCGGCGCCTTCCACCGCGCGGGGCGTCGAGCGCGGCCCGTGGCCCTGCCGGCGCCCCCCCCCCGCGCCCGAGGGCCGCGGCGCGGCGGGGGGCCCCGCGCGGGGCCGAGGCGAGTGAAACGTGCCGCCCGCGGGTGTCGCGGAGGGGGAGGTCCCCTGGATTCGGAGGGAGGCGAGGGAGGAGGAGTGAGGAGGAGGAGGAGTGAGGAGGAGGAGGCGGAGGAGGAGGAGGAGGAGGAGGAGGAGGGGGAGGAGGAGGAGGAGGAGGAGGAGGAGGAGGAGGAGGAGGAGGAGGAGGGAGGAGGACCTGTGTAAACCCAAGAGGCATCAACGATGTTGGAATAAACCCTCCCTCCAAGCTCCCTCTTCATAGGTCCCATACAAAGGTTCGTGTCCACAAAGGGAGCTGCCTCGTCGGACGACAACCATTCGAAGATCCTGAAGCCTGAAGCATGCCAAAACATCGTTCTCGGGATTCCATCGCCACGGATCAACCTGAGCGATGCGTCTTGACGATCCTGAATCGTGCCAGAACGCCATTCCTGGGACTTCAACACCGCGAATCAACGGAACTCTTGCACCCTCATAATCCTGAACCCTTTTCAAAACACCATTTCTGGTACGCTAACTATGGGAATTGAAGAAGCTCTTGCAAACATTAAAAACGAATGTACGCGGCCCCAAAACGAAAACCACATTTTGAAAAGAAGTCGCCCTCCATCCGTGAAGCTCTAGCAACTTTTTACGCCGAACGTGCGCGGCGCCAATGCGAGAACCACATTTTGAAAACCAACCGCCCTCAATCCGTGAAACTCTTGCAACTTTTTAAACCGAAAGTGCGTGGCGCTCAAGCGAGAGCCACATATTGAAAACCATTCGCCCTCAATCCGTGCAGCTCCTGCAAATGCTTAAAACGAATGTGCGCGGCGCTGAGGCGAGAGCCACAGTTTGAAAACGAGCCGCCCTCCATGTGTGAAACGGTTGCCAATGTGTAAGCCTCAGGGTCATCAATGGTGAGGAAATCTCAGGCGAGACGTCCGGCCCGCCCTCAAAAACTGGCCTCGGGGTGCGACAGGGAAAAGTTATTTATAAGGAGAAGGAACGGAGGAGGAGGAGGAGGAGGAGGAGAAGGAGGAGGAGGAGGAGGAGGAGGAGGAGGAGAAGGAGGAGGAGGAGTGAGGAGGAGGAGGAGGAGGAGGAGGAGGAGGAGGAGGAGGAGGAGAAGGGAGGAGGGAGGAGGAGGAAGAGGAAGAGAGGAGGAGTGAGGGGAGATGGAGGGGAGAGGGGGGGGAGGGCAAGCTACGGCAGGTTCGCGTCGTGCCGACCTCAGCACTGGCCTTTTCTGATGCCGCAAGGATCGTCGAACTGGTACGAGTGGTCGTTGCCGAACCGGCAGATCGTTCTTCAACATCGGCGGATTCTGGGTCGAAGGAAGCTTTTTCGCTATTCGACCGCGAAGGTTCCTTTCAACAGCACCGGGGCGGCGACCTGGGCCGAGGGTGGCACCTCCACGAGGGAGGGGCGCACCTCTGTCCGGTGCTCTGGCCATCTGCACCGCGAGGCGAACCAGGGGTACCAGAAGACGCACCACATGTGTTAGGTCGGGCATGTCCCCCTAGAGGCGTATTCTGGACGAAAAAACGAAACATGGCCAAAACATGTTCCACAATTGTCAAAACGAGTAGAAGAAATCGCACCCAGACTATTCTTTGACTACGTTTGAATCTTCCTCCTGAAGAGGGACCCGACTTGAGGCACGCCTGAGGCACCAGAAGACGCATCTAGGGGGCAAACGAACCTGCCTCGCTTTTGACCACCCTCGCTGCCAAGAGCTGCCAGGCGATGCCAAGCTACGGCCCGCACTGGTCCGGCCGCTCGACGGGGAGGCGCGCGGTATGACTTGGCTTTGCCTGGAAGCGAAAGCGGGGTAGGTAATTCACGCTCTGAGTGATGGTGTGGCAGTCTGGCCCAAGACATCTGCCCAGACCTCCGGCGCACGCTTCGATCACGCAGCGGGCCCCAGAGCTCCCGACCCCTTCCCCTGGGGCGGGCCTCTCGCCCTGGGCATTCTTCGCATGGCCCCAGAGGCCAGCATCCTTGAAGAACGCCGGGCTTGAGCAGAATTCATATAGTGGATGTCTGCGTTTGGGAAGTCTCCGAAGTCACTGAAGTCTCGGAGGAGATCCCCGGAGGCCACCAGGTCCCCTGAGGCCTACGTAGGCCTCCAGAAACCCAGAGAGGGCCAAGACCTTTTGATCCTGGATGCAGGGAGTAGTGAGGAGAAGGAGCAGCAGCAGGAGGAGGACGACGAAGGACGAGGAGGAGGATGAGAGGGAGGGAGAGGGAGAGAGAGGGCCAAAAGGTGCAGACGGCTCAAAAATCCAGCATATTCGGAGGGCTTTGCGCTGGAGCGGATGAGCCAGAACTCGGCCCATCGCCTGGCGTGGCGCGGGGCAACGCGAAGCAGTGGCGCTCCGCTCCCGCTTCCACCTCCTCCTCCTTCTCATTCTCATTCTTATTCGACCTCCTTCTTCTTCCTCCTCTCCTCCTCCTCCTCCTCCTCCTTCTCCTCATCCCTCCCCCTTTTCTTCTTGCCCTCGGTTGACCGTTTTTTGGCTCTCTGAATGCCCCTGGGGACCTTCAGGGACCTCCAATGAGACAGCCATAATCCACAGCGGGGGATACAAAGTAGGGACGCAAGACGCCCGTACGTGCACGCGGAGACGACTTGCAGCGGCATGGGGCCCCTCAGCTACTGGAGGAAAGCCGCGCAAGGGTAGCCTCTTGGTAAACTGGCAAAGCACTGCGACCTTACTACAATCGACCTGGTCTAGAGGATGCGCGGCAAGGATGCAAAGCTCTGGCGGCCCAGATTGAAGCAGAAGTTGGAAGTCCATTATGGCCCATGGTAAAAAAAGGCTAGGATGGGCCGAGAGGCAAAGATGCAGCGGTATCAATGAAGAGGGAGGAGGATGCCGATAGACTTTGACCGTCCTCCGTTGTGCTCTTCCTCCCGCGCCGCCTCCACTCCTCCCCCCGTGCGGCGCCAACGTGTGGGCAGCGTCAACAGAGCCGACAGGAAAACCAGCCGACCAACCGACCGAGCGCGGCCATGCAAGCAGTCTGAGGGTGGGGGCAGCGGGCTGGCGGCAGCGGGCGACGCCCTCCAACTATATATATATATATATATATATATATATATATATCAGGCATGCGCGCTCCATGACAAGGCCGGGCTGGGCTACAGCGAATACGAACGCGGCGGCAACAACTCGAGATCATGCCCGCATCGGCGCTATAGCTGCGTTCCAAATCAAACATGAGGCTATCGTGTCAGATGAAGTGCAAACTCCTGCAGTCTCACCAGCCCTCTGGGAGCAGGTGGTTTAACGAACTTGTGTCTTCTCTCTTCCACAATCCCTCCTCCCCCTTCTTGGGGGAGGGGTTCCTCACTGCTTCCTGTACAGAAGCAACCCCTCCCCCAGGCGACCTGCAGCAAACCTGGACCAATGAGCCGCCCCCCACCATCCCTGAAACAAAAGCAATACAACATGCACTTTGCCGCCGAATTTGGCCCATGCGCGCGCCCTGCGACCACATTGCATTGATTTTTGAGAGGGGCAGCGGAGGTGCCGGAATATTGCTTTCTGCGCCACCAATCACTGTCAACAAACAATACAACACAACACTGTGGCTCCAAATCTGGAGCATGCGCAGGGCCCTCTTTTTTCTGAGCTCTCGTCTGTTTCACGACTCCTTAAGGTGTCACAATGTGTCCATCGGTGCCGGGGCTTTGCGCTCCCTGGAAGAGTATCCCTTCTCTCAGAATGCTCGGCACTTCGCTTCAGGGGGATTCGAGCTCCTGAGCTCCTTGGGGCTGACGCCCCAGGCACCTGGGGACCTTATTGGTTCCCCGTAGCTGGCGCACCTGGCGAGACTGGAGCACGTGGCACAGTTGGCGCACGTGGAGCATGTGCCGCACCTGGCACGCTTGGCCCTCCAGGGTGCACCTGGAACCCGTGGTGAGCATGGCACGTGTGGCGTTCCTAAGCGATCTACTGACACTCGGATGCTACTTATGTGTTGGGAGGGTGGGTGGGAGTGAGCTAGACGGCCTGCTATCTAGGAGGGTGGAGCCCGTGGCGCACATGCCATGTTTGGCGTTCCTAGGCGGCATGCGGAGACTCGGGTGTTACTTATGTGTTGGGAGGGTGGGTGGGAGTGAGCGAGACGGCTTGCGGGCAGATGTGGTGTCTTGACCCCTCCCCCTAGCTACTCCTTTGGGCCTGGGAGGGGGGAGCGCGAGGTGCCAGAGGGTGCTTTGTGGTCCAAGATGGCTCCAAGAGGGCCCCCGCGAGCCCAAGATGGCCTCCGAGACAGGTCAAGGTACCTTAAGATGGCTCACGATAGCCTGCGACGCACATCCAAGAGGCCTCAAGATGGCCCGAAGACGGTTTCAATTGCCCGCCGAGCCCTCCGAAGACCCCCCCCAAGAGGTCAAGATGGCTCCGAAACCTAAGGGAAATCAATGATGTGTGCCTTCTCGCTGTTTCGCTTCCAATGAGCTTTTGAATCCTCAAACTGGCCCCAAGACGGCCCAGGAGAGCCCCAAGAAGGGCCCAAGAGGGCCCCAAGAGCGCCCACGAGCGCTCCAAGAGCGGCCCAAGATGACCCCACAACGCCATTTTTGAGCCTCTGAGGGGTGGGGTAGGGTGGGGGGCGAATTAAGAACCCCGCCTCTTTTTGAGCCACGGGGCCCAAGAGCACCCCCAAACCCATCCAATGAGCCCGAAGAGGGCCCCATGACCCCCAAAACGAGCCCCAAGAATGCCCCAGGAGGCAACACGGGGACCCCAAGAGATTCACTGATAGTCTTAGCCCTTGAAGAACCTCTCAGAACAACTTATCTCCCAAGCCCGACTTCTCATCCTCCTTGTCGTCGGCTGTTCCTTCCGCCCTCCTTTCCTGCCTCCTCCCTCCTCCTCCTCATCCTCCTCGCCTTCCCCGTGCCGCATTCCTCCTCCACTCCTTCTCCTTATAAACAACTTCTTCCTGCCGCACCCCGAGGCCAATTTTCAGGGCGGGCCGGGCGTTTCGCCTGAGACTTCCGCCCCATTTATGACCCTGCAACTTGGACATTGGCAACAATTTCACATATGGAGGGCGGGTCGTTTTCAAAATGTGGCCCTCGCCATAGCGCCGCGCACAGTCGTTTAACGAATTGCAAGAGTTTCACCGATTGAGGGCGGGTCGTTTTCAATATGTGGCTCTCGCCTTAGCGCCGCGCACATTCGTTTTAACCATTGGCGAGAGTTTCACAGATTGAGGGCGGGTCGTTTTCAAAATGTGGCTCTCGCCTGAGCGTCGCGCACACTTGCAAGAGCTTTACGGATTGAGGGCGGGTCGTTTTCACAAAATGTGGCTCTCGCCTTAGCGCCGCGCACATTCGTTTTAAATAATTGCAAGATTTTCACGGTTTGAGGGCGGGTCTTTTTCAACATGTGGCTCTCGCCTTAGCGCCGCGCACATTCGTTTAAACAATTGCAGGAGTTTCGCCTATTGAGGGCTGGTCGTTATCAAAATGTTGCTCTCGCCGCAGCGCCGCGCACAGTCGTTTTAAAAAATTGCTAGGGTTTCACGAATTGAGGGCTGGTCGTTTTCAAAATGTGGCTCTCGCCTTAACGCCGCGCACATTATCGTTAAAACATTACAAGAGTTTCACAGATTCCCATGATCGACGTACCATAAATCATCCTTTGGAATGTTTACGATTTTGAGGGCGCAACAAAAGAGATGATTCGCGGAATTGAGGTCCCAATAACGGCGTTCTGGCATGATTCAGGATCGTCAAGACGCAATAGTCAGGTTCATCCGTGGCGTTGGAATACCGAGAATAATGTTTTGGTATGCTTCGGGGTCTTCAAACGGTTGTCTTCCAACGAGGCAAGTCCCTCTGTGGAAATAAACCGTTGTAGGGGCCTATGAAGAGGAACTTGGGGGGAAGGTTTATTCCAACGTCGTTGGTGACTCTTGGGTTTACACTGGTCCTGCTCCTCCTCTTCTTACTTGCCCGGGCTGGATCGAGCCCGACACACACAGGATATGCCGTCAACCCGTGTCATAAGGATGCGCGGTAAGGATGCAAGGGCCTTGGAGGCCCACGTGAACGTTCTTCGAACGAGGCAGGTTAGCGAAAATCGCTGAGGATGGGCCGCCGAAAGGGCAGGGATGCAAGGGCAGCCTTGGGAAGGTCGCCCGTCCTTCCTATGCGGGCTGACTATGGTGGCCAAGGCTTGGCAGGCAGGGCTGGACCTAAACTCTGTTGTTCTTTATGTCTTCGTTGAGTGTTTCAGTTTGCTCTGCCTGTTTTCCTGTACCTCCCTCGCAAAACGAAGCGCAAACCACAGCCGAAGTCCACCAGAGCAGCGTTTAGGTCCAGCCCTGTTGGCAGGTGAGGGGCAACGATAGGGGGGACAGGCATAAGGGGGGATGCATCGACCTGGAATCGGCGATACATCGCCGATAGATCGGCAACAGACCCCCATAATGAGTCCGCACCTTCTTGGGCGGGGTGGGGCCATCGGGCCCCCATCGGCGATAAATGGGCGATTGGGGGTCGATGCATCCCCCCCCCCCTACAGTCAACCCGCATAGTAAGGATGGGCAACCTTCGTACACTTGCATCCTTGTCTCCTCGGTCCATCCTTCGCCGCTTTCGCTGGCCGCGCCCCGCTCGAAAAGCTTCGAATGGGCGTTCAAGGCCCTTGCATCCTTATCGCGCATCCTTACTGTACTTGTTGACTGTATGCCTAACCCCCTCTATCGTTGCCCCTGTTGGCAGGCGTGGCAGAGCCCGCCCGGGGCCGCTCCCTGCAGGCTCTCCCCCGTGCCGGGGGTGCGGAGGGCCCTCTCCGGCTGCGGCTGGCCTGCCCCGCTGCGCCAGGGGGCCCACAGGGTCACGCAAGTACAGCGACACGCGTCCCCAGGGGCCCCCACATGTCCCATATCTTCTGGATGTTCGTCTTCCCCTCCACTTCAGGTCTATTCTCCATGTTTTCCCCCTGGGGATCGACGATCAGTTGTGTCTGTGTGCTTCTGCTTCTTCCCCTCTGGAATCTCGTCGAGGGGGTCAAGGGAGAAATGTGAGGAGGGCGGCAGTCGAAGCATGGCTACAAGAACGCGGGTCGAGAGAATGGGACCCTTCGCCACAGGCCCAATGCCCCATGGAGACACCCAAGACGAAGCGACATTCCAGGGTGGAGAGCCTCACAACGAAGTAGACTTGGGGCCCCCTCCACGTCTGGGATTGCTCTTAACCCACGTGCCATCTCTAAAAGGGGGGTTGGGGGTTAGATGCTCATTCTGGGGACCTTGCTGGAGCCACTCGCTCCACTCGTACGTCGAAGCTGCGTCGAACCTGAGTCGAACCTGAGTCCAACATGAGTCGAACCTGAGTCGAATCTGAGTCGAACCTGAGTCGAATCTGAGTCGAACCTGAGTCGAACCTGAGTCGAACTTGAGTCGAACCTGAGTCGAACAGATCCATTAGGTGGGCCCCAGGAAGGTCCCCAAAACGAGCATCGAATTGGGGGAATCAGCATCAGCCGCTCGCAGCCAGCTTCACTGGCGCCTCCCAGCGCCAGAGGCAATGCCGTATATCGAGGAAAGAATGCCCCGCGGTGGGGCCGAAGCCGGCTGCAAGCAGGAGATTTCCCCTCCGCCCCACCCCCCTCCACCTCCTGCGGGGAATGACAAAATACCAGTACCTCCGCCTCCTCCTCCTCCTTACTTACTGGACCTCCCCTCTGGGGTGCGTTCTGACCGGCGGCGCTCCGCTGTCCATCCAGATTCCAGCGGCGCTCCGTTGTCCATAAGGATTATCTCCTGTTGTTTTCTGCGGAATCCACAGGCGCTCCATTTTGTCATAAGGATTCGTTCTAACAGTCTGTATACGACAGTGGTGCTGTGTTGCACACGGTTGCTGTGGTGCACACAGGCGCCGTGGTGTACACAGGCACTGCAATGCACGCAGGCACTGTAGTATACACTGGTGCTGTGTTGCACACGGCTGATGTGATGTACGCCAGCTGTGGTGTGCACAAGAGCTGTTGTGCCCGGAGGCACGGTGGCACAAACTGACGCTGTGTTGCACGCGGCTGCTGTGGTGTACATAAGCGGCGTGGTGTACACAGGCGCTGTGGTGCACTGCACGCAGGCACTGTGGTGTACACAGGCGTTGTGGTGCAAATCGCCACCTACATGCTGGCGCTACCCGACCTCCGTCATTCCTAGGCATTCCCAGACGCCGCCGACGCGAAACATGACGTCATCGACCCCATCCCACCCCCTAGATGATTACCGTCATCGGCCCAGAATAAAAAACAAGCTTCAGCCGCGTCCGCGCGCACGACGACTATGAGCGACGAGCGACAAGGCACGAGCGACGACGACGACGACGACGACGACGACGACGACGACGACGACGACGACGACGACGACGACGACGACGACGACGACGACGACGACGACGACGACGACTGCGGACCAGACTCCTATGCGGACACCTACGCGGATCCCAATGCGCACGGCGGCAGTGCCCGGAGCGCACTGGGGGGGGGAGCGTTAAACATAGGGGTGGGGGGGGAGCGGGGGCCATGACGCCCGTCACTGGCCATCGCTCGGACGTCCATTCCCTGTGTTTTTTTCGGTTTCGTGCGTGTTTTTCGCCAAATGATCAAGGATGCTCCCCGATGGCATTCGCCGAGGAAAAAAACGCACACGTCCGAGCGATGCCAGGGTCATGCCCCAAGCAAAACAGACACGGGCTCCTGGGGCGTTCTGACCAGGATCTCGAGGTGAATCCAGCCGTGGCGATGAGAGAAGGGCAGCGCACCTTTCCATCCCCTGACCCCTCCTGCCCAGTCCTCTCGCGTCCACCCCGATCCGAGTCCCCTCCAGGACCTCCAGCAGCTCACACACAAGCTTGAAAATTGTAAGCTGCCAATTTCCTGCTCGTTCCTCCTCCCTACGATCTCTCTTCCCTGCAGGAACAAAGCACGACAGAAACATACTTTCTCGGAGGTCCGAACGCTTCTCTTGGATCGGAGTTGAGTCGCTCTGGCGCCGCCCCTGGCGCGCTCCGCGCGCCAGGAAGGGAGGGTCCAATGCAGACCCACGAAATCCGAGCGGAACTCCGAGAATGTATGCTTATGCTGTTTTTGTTGTTCGACTCCCTCCGTCTCTGCCTGCTCCCCCCCTCCCTCCACGGTCGGGAGCTGTGACTGTTGCTCCGCGCTGGACGCTTGGCCATGGGGAAGTGGATACAGCGCATGGCGCCAAAGCGCGGTGGGCCAGAACCGGCGGAGCGACACGCTGTCCAACCAATTCCGACCGTCAGCCCGGATCCCCCCTCGGGGATCTTCTGACCTGGGTCAATCCAAACACCAGGTCAGTCAGGCCTTGCAGAATCCTGCAAGATCCTGCAAGACCCTGCACCCAAACCTGGGTCAACGCGAAGGATCCTGCAAGATGCTGCAGGACCCCTGCGCCCAGACCCGGGTCAGTGCGACCTTGGCCCTGCAGGATCCTGCAAGATCGGGCGCTCTGGCTGACCCCCGTTTGCATTGACCCCCGTCTCGAGGCTCCCGACGGTCTCGGGAGCGGCCAAGAGGGGGGCGTCCAAGAGGGGGGGGTGCAAATCATGACAGGCGGCATGTGCGCGGCCCAAGGGGGGGGCTGGGGACGTAATGAAACAAGAAGAGGCGCCACGAAATCTGAGGAATTATCATGACCCATGCCATGATATCCACCCCCCTCTAGTCATCACCCCCCTCTTTGCCGCCCCCGAGGGACCCGACCCCCCCGTCGCCGAGGAGGTCCGGGACGGCAGCCGCGCTCGGCTTCGCCGCCTGCTCGCTCGGTTCCTCCGCCCCCAGCGGCGCTCCCGCGGGCAGGCGCGCAGCGGCAGGGCAGGGCGAGGCCCCTCGGAGAGGAGTCCCAACGACGACGCAGACGACGACGTTGATGGCGGCGGCGACGGCGACGACGACGACTACGACGACGACGCGACGACGAGGGCGCGGCGGGCGAGCTCGCACGGCGTGCCCTGCAAACTGCTGCGCGGCCCCCGCACGCGCGCGCGGGCGTGCGCCGTGCGTCGTGCCCAACGCACCCGTGGGAGCTGGGCAGGCACCGCCGGGCAGGAGCTGACGGGCGGCGGGGGGCGATTCACCGCGGTCCTCCCTCCTCCTCCTCCTGCTGCTGCTGCTCCTCCTCCTCCTCCTCCTGCTGCTGCTGCTCCTCCTCCTCCTCCTCCTCGTCCTCCTCCTCCTCCTCGTCCTCCTCCTCCTCCTCCTCCTGCTCCTCCTCCTCTTCCTCCTGATCCTCCTCCTCGCTCCTCCTGCACCTCCCCCTTCTGCTCCTCCTCGCTTCTCCTCCTCCTCCTCCTCCCCTCCTCCTCCTCCTCCTCCTCCTCCTCCTCCTCCTCCTTCCCATCCTCCACCTCGTCTTTCCCTCCACCCCCTCCTCCGACTCCTCCGACTCCTCCCCCCCCGGCGACCACAGCTCCTCCACGAGAAGCTGCGGGGCAGCGCTGGCAGGCTTTTGTTTGCTGGCTCCCCCTTCTTCGCGCAGCGTGGCCCCCCCCTGGAGGTGCGGGCTCCGCCTTTTCTGGGGGGGACCGCCCCCTCGTCCAGAGCTCCCTCCCGAGGCCGAACGTGGCCAAAACTCCTCCTCCTCCTCCTCCTCCTCCGCCGCCTC